TTCATCACCATCTACCTCATTGTTTGATTTTCTTGGGATTTATGATTGGTTTTGTGTTCTATAGATTCTAAAGATTGGTCACCCTCCCACTTTAATTTTAGTTTAAAGACCTTGTGATGAGTTGGGCCAGTCTTTTCCCAGGTATATTTTCCCGTTTTCCCATCTTTTTCCAAGAGTCCTTGGTGTAGGTAATGCAATCCATGGCCCAGGAAACCAAAGTTTTTTTGGCGACACCAACCCTTTAGCCAGTGGTTTATTTCTAGAATTCTTTTTTACCTCAATGGGTGTTGACCTTTTGTTGGGAGTACTAATGAGAACACTACTTAACATTATTGCCTAGTTGTTTATAATCTCTCAATATTGCACTCAGATTTTTTTGTTGTGTCATTTGTCCCAATGTGAAGGAGAAGGAAAGGGTAGTAATCTGTGGGCCTAATTATTTTGTGGGCCTAATTATTTTAAATCTCAGCCACATTTTTTATTTTTGCTCCAGGAAGACAACATAACTTCCTAAATTGTATGTCCAGTCTGCAGGTGGCTAGTTCTATTCCTTTGAGAATAGAATCTCCGATCACCAACACACTCACATTCCTTTTTTCAGGGGTGCAGTCTGAGGTGCTTTTCTGTTTATCTCTGGTGTGTTTGTTGATGTGAATTTTTAGAGATATTTGATGATGTCTCTTTTTTAGATGTTTTGCATGTTTCCTTTGAGGGGGAGGTTGTGGTCTGCGTATTTTCATCTAGGGGAAGAAATTGCTTCTTTCTTTGATTATTGTGTTTCCTTCTATGTCGTCCATTTATCTTCCTCCAAGGGTTTATCAGCAGGGTCAAATCCTCCTGGAGTTATTTGTTTATTATTTCGTTCAAATTGATCATAACTGTATTGCATAGGTTAGAGTTTGGCTAGAGTTGCCTCTAGATCCCTTACTTTTTTCTCTAGTAGTTCACATAGGTTACTTAAATAAGTGTTCTTTGGGCATAAGCACATACATAGAATATATATTGCATACCACAATAGTGTCAGTCACCTGTACCATGAGTTTGTTTCTTTTTGCTGGTTCTTTTAAGGATTAAAAAATTATGTTTCTTTCTTTTTTCCTATCCTTTCTTCTTTTTTGTGCTCATTTTTCTACCTTGTTATTTATTTAATTGTTACTATTATGTTAGTTTTATTTATTCTTTTCTTTATATTTTTTGAAGTTTTTGAGCTCTAATTCTTCCCTATCTTATTATTTAAGATTTCCCTTATTTATTTGATTTTATTAATCCTATTCTTCCTTGGTTTCTAATTTTCCACTCTTGTCCTTATTATTTGCCTAGTTATCTTTTATTTTCTGTCCTGTATTTATTTTTATTCTTTACCAGGGTCTTCCCTCCCTGCCTATTGGAACCTCAGGCTTAATTTGTTGCCTTCACTTCTGTCATTCTTTGCTTCAGCCTCTTATTATTTTCTCTGCCAGCCCCATTCTGTTCTTTGGTGCGCAGGTCTTTTCAGCCTCATCCCTGCACTGGTCAGCTCTCTTGGCCTGCCTTTCAGTTTTCTGGTCGACTCTGGCCCTTAGCCCTCCACACAGCTCCACCATTGCTTTCCATGTTGCTCTCTGTGCTGTCTCAGGCTCTAGCCTACTGTGCTGCCCCCTGCTGCTGCTGGGTCTGTCTCCTTCCTGTTGCATTGCTGCTGCTTTTTGCTATGCAGCCACATGGCTCTTGTTTGCTTGTCTGTTGCGCCAGGATGCTGCTTCCACCAGCAAACAGAACTGCCTGGATTGGCCCTAGCAAGCTCATCTCTCCTCTCTTCCCTTCCTTCCTGTTCTGCTCTCTCACCAGCTCGGCGGTCCACAAAAGTTCACTTCTCTTTTCTTTTCCTCCCTGCTCTGCTCCCTCAACAACTCGCCTCTTCGTTCTCTTTTAGTTGTTGCACTGCCGTCAGTTTGCTGGTCTCTCTGCCCCACAGCTGATTTTCCTCCCTCCTCGGCAGCTGGCTCCACTCGCTCACTGGCTTGCCTCTTTATTCTTCACTGGTTGGTTTTGCTGCCTGCAATTGGTTTGCCTCTCTGCTCACCTTACTTCAATATGCAAGAATACTATCTAATTGTAGCCTTCTATCTTCATTTGGCATTTTGGTTTGATCTACAATTTTCATATGATTTATTTGGCAGGACTAAGCCTTCTTCTGGTCATATGTTAGACAACTAAGAGGAAGAATTGATGATGAGTGAACCCTTTCCCCCTACTCCAGATTGTATCATTTGTGATTTGCTCCCATGTCCATTGCTTGAGTCTCGCAGAAGCAAATGTAAATGTAGGAACTGCACATTAGAGGATGAATGATACAGAAAGGTCAACATTCCTGCCAAAATCTTAATTCAGGACTGTTTTCAGGACTTTGTTTAAGTACATAACCTATATGTGTAAATTTTAGGTGATCATTAGATGAATCAGTTGCAGGTTAAGTATCCCTTTTTCTATTATTCAAATATGAGGGAATCAAAATATCTTGTCAAACTGCTGTATATTGAAAATATACCTCTGTCATCTTTCTGCTCACTAATTACCGTATTTTTTGGAGTATAAGACGCTCCAAAGTATAAGGCACACCTAGCTTTTGGGGAGGAAAACAAGAAAAAAAAATCTGCTTCTGTCTCCCAGCAATTTGCCTCTTTGCAGAAAACAACCTGTTTCAGTTTCAGTTCAGCACAGCCTGATTAGCACAAACAGCTGTTTGTCGGTTGGATTGACCTCCTGACGATCAACTGTTTCAGGCTGCAGGAATTACCATAGGAATTGCAGGGATTCCACCTGTTCTGGGTGGCGGGGATCAGAATGGGCAGAAAACAGGGCACGCGGAGGCCGAAAATGGGGCATGCAGAGGCCAAAAATGCAGCTCACAGAGGCAGCAATAGGCAATGGCAAGCCCTGCAGCCTGAAACAGCTGATCGTTGGGAGAAGGATCCAACCAACAATCAGCTGTTTATGCTAATCAGGCTGTGCTGAAGCTGAAACAGGCTCTTTGCTGTTTGCTGCAAGGAGGCATTGCTGGGAGGCAGAGGCCAAAGGGTGGGGGCTGGCAGGTGGGTGGGGCTTCGGCAACATTCGCTGTATAAGACGCACAGACATTTCCACCCACTTTTGGGGGTGAAAAAAGTGCATCTTATACTCCAAAAAATATGGTATAACTTGTATAAGTGAACAACAAACAATAGATCTAGTGCACTGGTGTTCTGGAAATTGGTGAGGTTTATTTAGTTTTAAATGTCACTCAATAGCAGGGATGGCCAACCTTTTCAGTTCTGAATGCTGCTTTAATTTTTTTATATATATAATTTTATTTATACATTTTTTGTTAACATATATGAGTGCTTAATAAACAGTGTATTATCTGAGTCAATTTATATATAAATAATGATGTTAATAAAAATATTCTTTACTTGAATATAATGATATTCTTCCAACTTCTAATTTCTACTTTTATTATCTACCCATTGGTAAACAAATCCCAGGTTGAAAAATATTCTCCAGTGAGCTGTTCCGAGCATCCAGGGTAGTACTTCCGTCTGCCATTCAATAGGCTGAGTAAAGATCTGAGGACACTCCCCTTTGCTGCTTGTCCCCAGTTTTAGCTCAGCCTGTCATTCGAGCTAGAAATGCGTTCCTTACCAGGATCATCAGAAAGCTACTATTTCAGAACAGCCTGAAGAATTTGAAAGGTTTCATTTTATTTCTAAAATTTTTCCTTTTAAAATGCTGACAACCAACAACGAATTACAGTGTTCGTCAGTTGCAACGGGTCCTTATCAGGACCACAGCGTGCGAAGAGCAGGAGTTCTATTCCGCCGCTGCAGCCTCTTTATTTTTAACAGGCTTGCAAATCAGACTGACCTGAGCAGAAGCCTTAACGAGGCTCTGCTCCCTGGTGCCTACACGAGCTTTGTCCTTTATCTTTAATGTTAACCTATCCATTTCCACACAATCTAATATTTTTTAATTATATTTTCATCTGTAGGATCTTCCTCACTTTTCCAATGTTATACAATTCTCGCTGCTGTCAAAACATACAATATTAAATATACATTCCCTTTGTCATATTTTCTGGCAATATACCTAACAAAAATATTACCGGTTTTAAATCTATATGTTGCTTTATCATTTCTCTAACCATGTATGTATTTTAATCTTTTTTTTTGCCTTTGGACATGTCCACCACATATGGTAATATGAACCTGGTATCTGATTGCATTTCCAACATTTGGCAGACATATTTTTAAACATCTTTGCTAGTGGTAAACTTCTTGCTGGTGGCAAATGCCACCTATAAAACATTTTATACAGATTCTCCTTGTATGTAGTTGCCATTGTCAATTTATAATTTATATCCTAGAGTTTTTGCCATTTATCTAATTCTATAGTATATCCAAATAATTTTGCCCATACTTTCATTGTTTATTTCACGTGTTCATCTTCCATTTTAAAGCTTAATAAATAGTTATATATTTTCTTTATTAATTTTTCATCCATTCCTAATAGTATCTGGTCAGGTGTTGTTAGCTCTTTATAGAAACCATAAGTCTGTGTCTTTCTTGTATCCTGATTGTATTTGCAAATGTGGCCACTATGCCGGGTCTACTCCTTGGTTTTGTAATTTCTGTTTAATTTTAATTTCCCATTTCTCATTTAAGATATCTTTATATGTTACAGTTTTTCCAAATTTACCCAATTCTGCACTTTACATTATATAGTAGTGAAGTATGAAATTGACCAGGTCAAGGCTCACACTTGCTTTTTGAGTGGATTCCAAAAACATGCACACCCCTCCCTCAAAAAAGAGAGTGGGATCAGGACAAACATTTCATTGTAAGTGTAATATTCTGCAATCATTTATTTAATAATGTCTACTGCTGTTTAATTGTAATTAGGTCATGATATTTTAAATTCTCTGGAAGTAGCACCCAAAACTTGAAAGCACTGAAGTATTATCTGATTAGATTCTTTTTTCATTACAGGTGAAAGCCAATGATTCTGATCAGGGTGCCAATGCTGAGATTGATTATTCCTTCCATCAGGCTTCAGATGTAATTCATCGACTGCTACGCTTAGACAGAGCTACTGGACTCATCACAGTACAAGGTCCTGTTGATCGTGAAGATATTAATGTGCTCAAGTTCTCAGTGTTGGCTAAGGACAAGGGAGCTAACCCCAAAACAGCCCGTGCCCAGGTAGTGATCAGTGTCAGGGATATGAATGATAATGCTCCATCCATTGAAATTCGTGGTATTGGTTTGGTGACTCATCAGGATGGCATTGCCAATATTTCAGAAGATGTGCCAGTTGAGACACCTGTGGCTCTGGTGCAGGTGTCTGATCGGGATGAGGGTGAAAATGCTGTTGTAACCTGTGTGGTGGCTGGTGATGTACCTTTTCAGCTGCGACAAGCCAGTGATACCGGCAGTGATAGCAAAAAGAAATATTTTCTACAGACCACTACACCTTTGGATTATGAAGCAGTGAAAGAGTATACCATTGAGATTGTAGCTGTGGATTCTGGTAACCCACCTCTGTCAAGCACTAATTCCCTAAAAGTGCAGGTGATGGATGTCAATGACAATGATCCAGTGTTTAGCCAGAGCTCAACAGAGGTGGCATTTCCTGAGAATAATTCTCCAAATGACTTGGTGGTAGAAGTGAGTGCTACTGATGCAGATAGTGGATCTAATGCTAAACTGGTCTACTCCCTTGCTGGAGAATCTTTATCAAAAGACACTTTCTCAATTGATCCAGAATCTGGTGAAATCCATGTAAAAAATGTGCTGGACCGGGAACAGCAAGAACGTTATGAATTCTTAGTAGTTGCAACTGACAAGGGTAGCCCTAGCCGCAAAGGAACTGCCTCAATTGCCATCAGTGTCATGGATCGCAATGATAACGACCCAAAATTCATGCTCAGTGGCTACAATTTTTCTGTCATGGAAAACATGCCACCGCTGAGTCCAGTGGGCATGGTGACAGTTATTGATGCAGACAAAGGAGATAATGCTGTCATTCAGCTGTCAGTGGAACAGGACAATGGTGACTTTGTCATCCAAAATGGTACTGGAACCATTCTCTCCAGTATATCTTTTGATCGTGAACGACAAAGTACTTACACTTTCCGACTTAAAGCTGTGGATGGGGGAGACCCACCTAGATCTGCTTATGTGGGGGTGACAATTAATGTATTAGATGAGAATGACAATGCTCCTGTAATTATATTTCCATCCAATGCTTCCTATAAACATATTCTGCCTAATACTAGTCCTGGGCAACAGGTTATGAGTGTTGGAGCTGAAGACATTGATTCTGGAATCAATGCTGAATTACTATTTAGAATTGCTGGGGGAAACCCCTTTGAACTCTTTAAGATTTCATCTGTAAGTGGAAATATCACACTAGAAAAAGAGATTCTCCGCAAGCACCATGGACTTCACCGCTTGGTTGTACATGTAAATGACAAAGGGAAACCTTCTCACCATGGCACAGCATTAGTTCATTTTTATGTGAATGAAACATTGGCTAATCGGACACTGTTGGAAACTCTAGTAGGACACAGCCTGGACACACCTATTGACATTGACATTGCTGGAGACCCAGAGTATGAACGCAACAAGCAGCGCAGTAATATTTTGTTTGGAGTCATTGCAGGCATTGTGGCTGTTACCTTGATAATTTTGCTAGTTGTGTTGGTACGCTACTGCCGTCAAAAGGAGGCCAAAAGTGGTTATCAAGCTGGTAAAAAGGAAACTAAGGATCTGTACGCTCCGAAACAAAGTAGCAAAGGGAGCAAAGCCAAAAGCAAAGTGAAAAAAAGCAAATCCACTAAGCCACCAAAACCAACTGAGGATGAAGAAGAAACAGGTCTGCAGAAATCACTTAAATTCAACCTTATGAATGATTCAGTAAGTGACAGTCCCCGCATCCATCTGCCTCTTAATTATCCACCTGGAAGCCCTGACTTGGGCCGCCATTACCGTTCCAATTCACCTTTGCCTTCCATTCAACTGCAACCCCAATCACCATCTGCCTCCAAGAAGCATCAGGTAGTACAGGACCTCCCAGCCACCAATACATTTGTGGGCACTGGGGACAGCAATTCTACAGGCTCGGAGCAGTATTCAGACTACAGCTACCGTACCAACCCTCAGAAATACACCAATAAACAGGTAGGAGAGATTGTGCTGCACTCACCCACCATTCCCTCATGCTACAACAGGGCCATATGGACAGAGGTGTGGGAATGAAATGGACTTGGCCCAGATTGCATGAATGGATTGGCAGGATGCAGGTTGGAGGACTGCAGTGTCCAGATGCATGTTACATTCATAGGACTACTTAGAAAAGAGGCTACCTTCAATCCAGCAAATTAAGGGTGCAAGTGGGGAGAAGATTGCATGATTGTGGTAAATCGGAGCAGGCTGATGGCATTTAGGGAAATGAATCCTACCACTTGGGTGCAGCATAAAGATTTGGGTTGTCAGTGGTCAATGATCCATGCATCAGGTTGTATTCAGTTCTGATGTTTTGTGTTCATTACTATAAAACAGGTGTTAAAGTAGAGCTGGGTTTGTTTATGGGTCCCATTTTCCAGTCATACTTCCATTCAGATATCATTGATTTGAATCATTGAAAGCATTGATTTCTTCTGTAGAAACTTGATGCCACCAGAATCTTAGTACATTTATAGATACAGTATGGTAAAATTGAACTATTTTAATGGAGAGACATGGGCCATGGATATAAGATTTTTGCATGCAGAAATGGAATTGACTCTATAGCTAGAATGGCATGGGGAATCTTTGCTGAGGGATTAGATAATGAGCACACACAGAACAAAGATTACTGCTGCTGGAATTCAAAGCAAGGAAAACCATCTGCTTCAAAACATTTTGATCTATGATAGAGAACATGGCAGAATAGAAAACTGATATATATTTTACAAACTGGGTAGCATTTGGGAAGTATTCTTAACCACTGAGGCTTTGGTAGGTACAGTTTTGGATGCCATGCTTCAAACTGGTTTCAGTTAGTTATCAATAAAATATGAAACATTCAAGGAATAGTGTTAATCTTCCTTCCATTGTGTCATTATTTCCTTTCTTTTGGGGCATATATATATATATGCGCTAATTTTCCTCCTCAGCTTTGTTCAGGTAAAGTAATAACTTTACCCATGATGTGATGTCAATAAATGTTTCCATTGTTAGCTGATGTGTTATGATGTGTTGGTCACTGAGTTTTGTGTGGCAATGTGTGTGTGTGTGCAGTGGTGGGGAAACCAAATGATGGGGAGGTGGAGAGGAGAATGGACATGATGACATTGCTTTTGGAGATCGTTGTTTCTGCAATTGAAATTACGTTAAATTTTTAGTTACCATAAATGGTAAAAGCAAATCAAAGGAACCAGTATGAATTTCACACAACATATATGAGAATCAAATTGGAATGAAGTTATCACAGAAAAAATTATCTTTGATATTTTCAGAGATTTAGTGTGCTGATTAAAAACAAAAAGTGTCTTTTTACAAATACTTGCACTTTTTAAACCTATCTCAGGGAACACCAATTATAGCAGTGATTTTGTACATATTGTCAGTAGCATACTGTTGGGATTTTTAGAAGGTTTTTTGCCAATCATTTTGATTAATTAGACCTACTAATATTATTTCACTATTTTTAATTTTTATTTAAAACATTAAAGTACAAACTCTAAAAAACTGCAGAAAACAAACAACTAAACAAGACTACACAAAAAAGAGTGCATAAAATAAAAAACAAAACAAAATAGACACATACAAATTGTTTCCTGGTTGAATACTGATAAATATACCACAAGGTTATATGCCTCCTCCTTTGTGAAGCAGACACACAATTTAAAAATTTCTAGAACAATATTTACCCAATCCAGTTAGCCTAACCTCTATCTACTATATAGAAACATAGTTAACAGGTAAAACCAACAACTAAATTAAACTTCAGAACCCTCTGTTAACAGTCTATTTATTGTATTTCACACGAAGAAAGTCTGGTCTGTTATAAGTTACCACAGTCATTGTTTCTGATCCATCCAGGACCAAATATCCTTGATTGATTCTTAATGAGTCTTTTCCTTAGGATAGTAATCGGGATCTTTCCTAACAATTGGATTTTATTCCCCAAAGGCACAAGTTACTATTGTGTATATCTCCATAGCATTTGTTGTACAAAAAATGTCTCCTGTAAATTGTAACATGGCATCTCTTAACATTTGTTTTCTGATTGGGAATGAAAAATCCATTCCTGAATGTCCTCCAATCGTCTTGAAAAAATCGAGTTCATAATTGGTCAATACTATCAACTTTGAGTCTTTAAAATCCAAGTCTGTCTTAGCTTTTCTCCTCTTGCCAACTTCACTATACTCCCTTCACTACTCTCCCTTTCCCACAGCTATCCCATCCCCCGCTTTGGCAGCTCTGTTTAGTCTGTCTCAAGATGGATCCAGGGCTGACAGGCTGCCTCCCTTCAAGAAATGAGAACGTCCTGAAATGAGACATATGACAGAAGGTTACCTAACCACCTCCCCCCCCCATTTGGCTTATCCGGAATTTCTCGTGAAACTTCTTCACCAACCTTTCCGCTTTCACATTCCAGCTTTTCACCCAAGTGGCTTCAGGCAAAGGATATCCCTTCCAATGTATTAGATACTGTAAACGGCCCCTATGCAATTTAGAGTCCAATATTTTCTTCACTTCATAAATGGGTTTCCCCTTGCACCACAATTGGCTCAGGAGCAGGTTGATCCCTTGGTTTTATTTGGGAGTTAGTGGCTAGCTTTAACAAGCTGCTATGAAACACTGGATGGACTGGCTGAGGAACAAGCATGAGCCATAGTGGAGGCTTCCCTTTGGGTGACCCTCCTCTTCCACCCTCTCCCTTTTCTTCTCGGAACCCCCTGGCTGACTGTGGTTGCGAGAGGAGAAAAAGTAGGGAAAGGAGGAGGGTTGCCCAATGGGAAGACTTCGCTGCTGCTCATGCTTGTTCCTCAGCCAACCCAGATTTCAAAAAAGTTGACAAGAAGAAAAAAAAGGAGTAGCAAAGAGCCCCAGGGAGAGCTCGCTGGGTTGGCCCAGCCTCTGCTTTCCAAGAGAGAGAGAGAAGAGATACAGTGACAGAGAGAGGCAGGGACACAGAGACAGAGAGGAGATACACACACACACACAGAGGGGGAGACCAGCTGATGGTTGAGCATCATTGGCGAAGATGCTCCTGCTTTCTCTGAGCCTTACCCCGGGGTGGGCATGCAGGGTTTGGTGGGGCCAGCCCCCTTTCCCCGCTATCCTGAGCTTCTTTACTCCTCCAGTGGAGCGATGCCGGCGGCAGCTTTCATTGAAAAGCGTCTTCCAGGCAGCAAAAGTCCCCTGTGAAAATTGAAAAGCCATGGCTGAGCGCTGCAGGCCCATCCCCCTTTCCGTCATCCCCTCCTCCTGGATCCCATTCCCACCCCACCAGCCCTTGTGTTAGCGAGGCTGGAATGGGCTAGTGTCTCGGGGCAGAGAGCAAATTGCACGTCTTCCCAAGTGACCGAGGCACGCCCAGCATCAATAAGGACCAGAAGAAGCTCTAGCAAGAGTGAGGCACCGGAGAATCAGCCTTTGCCACTTCTCCATCCCCCACCATCACCCTTACTTTCTCAGGCCAGGCAAGAAGTGACTGGGAGGAGAGGGCAAGGGGCGGGGCCAGCCAATAGTGGGATCACCTGACAGGGAGCCACAGCAGAGGCCCCAAAGAGCTGCATGAGGCTCCGGAGCCGCAGGTTGCAGACACCTCTAAATCCATAGTCAATACGATCCGATACCAATCTTGGATTCAGTCTGGTACTCCTCTGTAGGCCCATGGTTGCCTCAGGTCCTGATTCAAAGCCTCCTTGAAATAATGGACAAAGAGTCATTCAGGCCAGTCCTGCAGTTTTCTGGCTACTCTCCTAAACTCCCACAAAAATTCTTTAGGGGGCCAGCTGCTTTCCTTCAATGCCTTGATTCTCCACCTCAGCTTCCTCCCGGTTAGCTGTGTCCTCAAATTGAGCTCTGAGTGACTGTACGAAATCGTCCACGCCTTCCAACTTGGGGGGGGGGGGGGGCTTTCATTGTGGAGTTGAGTGATCTATTCGGCAGCTTCCCCCTTTCTCATATTGTCCACAATGGCCAAGATCATATCTTGGTCTGACTGGTATTGAGCCCCATAGCGATCAATGTGGGCCCAGATATGATTTAGAAAGTAAGCCAGCTTTCCCGGGATGCCATCAAAGGTTGCCAAAAATTGCAGCAGGGTGGCTGTGACTGGTGGGGCCAGTGATGGGACCATCCACTGGCACTGAATCCACCCATGCCCAGGGTAGAAAGCCCATCTGGGAGGAATTTGATCAGCTAGTGGCAGTCTGGGACCTGCTGGGGGAGAAGGGTGTGCTGATCTGGGTAGTCCCTTCATCCCGTCGCGGTTGCCAGAGCTCAAGTGCCCCAGGGGCCTGGGGTGTTGACTGGCTGTGACACCCTGCTGGGCCATCGCCCCTACAGATTGAGTCCAAGGTTGGGAGGCTGGATCTAGATCCGACCAGCGTTGGGTGGAATGAAATCAAGGTCCCACTTTGGGCCCTTTTTCCCCCTTCCTTTACTTCCTATAGCCTTATTTTAAATTATCTCATTCCTTTCTTATTTCAATTACATATCTTTTTCTAATTTTTAAAATCTTTCTAATCAATGTTTTTATACTTTCGTCTGTCCTGTTTAGAATTTCATATTATTTTTTCTCATAAAACAATTTTCCCCTGTAATTGCTAGACTGGAGTGTAACACCTTTGTATCTTTTTTCAAATCTTATTTAAAAATTTAAGTTACACTTTTACAGTTATAACATTCAATTTTTAACCTCTATTTTATAACACATACCTATTTTCAATCGAATTCTGCTTGGTACATTCCCTTAAAAATACACACTAAATTCTTAAAAGAAAAAAGTATATATGTACATATATCTGCGTATATATGTATAACAATAGTAAATGGAATAATTATTCTATTCAAGTACAGCTCTGCCATTAATATTAATAACAATCTTTTACATTTCTATTTCTTTTAACAAACATTATCTAGTAATATCAGTTGTCTTTCACTTTAATCATCTATATTTCATA